CAAATTCCCCCCGGACGCTATTTTTAGAACAAAAAGGAGGACATGTCCGGGTAAATCCGGACGAATGGTAACCCTATTTAACATGCCCCTCCCTTCTCCCTCTACTGCACCCCACTCATAGTTGTTGTCCTTGGCCAGTGAAGACCCAGAGTTCAGTGGTGCTTTCGCATGAGTTCACCTCCCCCCCTGGGAGGGTGTGGGGGAGAAGGTTGTTCCTCTAGCTGCTCACCACTCACTCTGGCCACTGCTGTTTGTCATGCACTGTTCATTCCACCACTCCATTGCCAATGGCCGTGTGCCATCACCTTCTACTGCCACCTGCCACTGTGACCTCTGCAAGTTGGTCTCTTGAGGTTCCACCCAGCTCTCGGTGATTTCAGCGCTCAGTGGGGGAACCTCACAGCAAGTGCAGGCTGGGCTGTCTTTTCCACAGAAAAGCTGTCCTGCAGCAGGTCTAAGCACTTAGACCTGATTATTAGTGATTTCAGCTCTAGTGACCCCATAACAAAACAAAAAAGACTCTCTATGAAGCCTAATAAGCTCTATCTTTAAATAGGGGAGGGGGCAATTCAAATAATGCCTGTGAGTCTTAGGCAAAGCCCACACCACCAAGCAAAACCCCTGTCCCATCCCCTCCTCCACTGGGATCTGCCATCCAAACCCTTTGCTTAGCGAGTGAAGTTCAGTTGAGGGTGACCAGTGCTTAATTTGTAATTAAGAGGTGCCAGAGCTCAAGAAAGTTTTTTACTTTCATAACTGATGTGGCAAGCCTGGGGCTATGAACTGCCAAGGCCTGGCAAAAATTAAGCATTGAGAGTAGGGTGACCAGATGTCCCGATTTTATAGGGACAGTCCTGGTTTTGGGGTCTTTTTCTTACATAGGCACCTATTACCTCCCACCTCCTGTCCCGATTTTTCACATGTGCTGTCTGGTCACCCTAATTGAGGGTGACCCCCTCATTCAGGCAGGCTAAGCACAGTTCTGCTGCCCTTTACTCAGATGATAAGAATAACAACATTTCATGACCCCCACATTCAATACTAAAGTGATTTGTAACCCAGCACCAGCCAAAACTGATCACTTGGGCAGCACAGCTCTGTCTGCCGGATACCTAGGCAGAGTAGGTGAGTTCATGTAAATACCGTCTGGTCCTGAAGCCTTCTCCCCTCCCCGGGCTCATCGCTAGCTGGCAGGGGAGAGCTCATTCACACCTTGCTTACCAATCATAATGATAAATTATTAGGTTGGCCAAGATTGCTGATACAAATGTGCCCACATTGTCAGAAAAAACAACAGCTGTTGGAAGCCGCTAGTCTGTGTTCATACTTTTCAAACCTACTATACTTTTCCAGGTACAAGTATTTTATCATACACTGCATATGCTTTTAAAGTGTGTATTAGTGTTGCAATTTCAATTCAGATTTCCAACCAATGACTACACTGGCAACACTGATGTAACTAGTTGACCACTGGGGTGGGGGCGAGGGTGTTGGGGAAATTCGGGGGGGGGGTTACACCCCCACTGGGAGGGGTGTAGAAAAATCCCCTGATTGGTCCCCATCACCCAGTTCAGGCTCCTTGGAGGAGGAGTGGGGAGGCGCCTGGAGGGGTGGGTGCTCGCTGCACAGCTGGGAAGCCGGGAAGGGGCCCCGCTTGCAGACGCCCCTGGCGGCTCCTTGGTGCTTTTCCTGCCCTTGCTCGCCCCTTTGCTGTAATTAAACTGGAGGAGGAAAAGGCGGCAGCTGTGCTTCGCATGCGGCTCCTAACCGCAGGGAGCCCGGCGGCAGCGGCTGTGCGCGGGTGGAGGAAGGAGGATGCGCCCAGCCCCTGAGTCAGCGCCCAGAGTCAGACTGGCAGCTGCAGAGCGCGGGCGCCCGGGCCGCGCGCGCCAGGGTGCCTCCTAGGGCAGCTGGAGGGAGCGCACAGGGGGCGCATCTTGGGGCGCGCCGGAGCCTGGCAGCCCGAGGCGGAGGGCGCAGAGCTAACGTACCTCAGGCGCGTCCCTGGGATGGCCGGGCACAGGGAGAGCGCCCCGCCGGAGGTCTCCTAGGAGCAGCGGGGAGCGCCCACGTGGGGCGCCTCCTAGGGGTGTCCCAGCGAAGGGAGGGCGCTCACGCAGGCCCGTCTCATTTGGCTGGGGAAGTGCAAGGAAGCGCCCGGCCCTCGCCGCGGGACCAGAGGGCGCGCAACTGGAGGCGCCTCCTAGGGCGCAGGGAGCTGCCGTCGCGGGCACCTCCTCCTGCTCCTGGCCGGCTGGAGCTGGGCAGCCGCCCCCGAGATGTTCACCCGGGCTGTGAGCAGGCTCAGCAGGAAGCGGCCGCCGTCAGGTAAGGAGAGCTTTGCGCGGAGGACTCGGGCGAGCCGGGGTCCGGAGCGGGACCGCGTGCTGGGGGCACCTTCATCCCGGCGCCAGGCTTAGAGCGCTCGGGGTGCGTCAGAGCGAGCTCACCCCGGGACCTGAACCAACACCCCCAGAATCAGCCCCAGCCTCCCCAGGCAGGCAGGGCATGACTGGCCAGCCCCAGCCTTCTGCCGCCGGGGCCAGACTGGAGGTGAAGCTCCCCCGGCACCTTTGTCTCGGTCCAGACGATAGGATTTGCTCTCTGGTGGTTTTTTAAAACCAACGATTAACCCAAAGCAGGAGCCAGAGGCGCTGGTGCCTCTCCAGACTCTTCTAGTGTGCAGGCGCCTTTGCTTTCGGGCCAGGAAGCTTTGGCTTTGTGTTGAGAAGACACAACCACTTCTCGCTCGCGGCCGCAAGCTGCTTCAAGACGAAGAGGAAGTTTAGCTGAAAGAGGAAGGATGGAGTTTTCTTTTTAGAGTGTCTGAAAAATAAAGCACGCTGAAGTGGAATCTAGAGCCCAGCTTTGGTTTGTTAACTGTCTTTTTTTTTCCCCCTCTGCACATGAGTCATAGCTGCTGTGTGACAGAGGGAAGGCTACATTATCAGAAACGGTAACAACCACCAGGGAAAGTAACAGTGCCAAATGACATTAGGTTCAAATAGGGCCTGAGTTTCAGAAGTGCTGAACCTCCACAGCTCCACTGAGTTTAACTGGCGTTGTGGGTGCTCAGCACCTCTACAAATCAAGTAGATAAAGTCTCATTCAGGTGCTTTAACTAGCTGGATGATACAGATGAATAGAAAGAAGGTATGAATGTATGGTGTCATTGTATCAACCGGAATGTTTACTGCCTTTCCTCTGAGTTAGGCATGAACAATGACAGCTTTTTATGAGGTTTAGTATGACTGTAAAAGTCCACTATAATATCTCAAAGTATGCAATTGTGCAGTTCTAAAATAGCTTTAGCTATCTATTTCTCATGTAATGGACTTGGTAATACTTATAAAGCGAATCAAACTATGCAGTGGCCAAAGCAGTGGTGGCAAGTTTCATATCTGAAACATGGCAGTGTATCTGGATTTTTACAATATTCAGATATAATGATGTTAATTAGACTTAAACTAACGGAGTACAGGGCATTATTGATGATTCATATGGCTGTAGACCTGTGTGTGTGTGTGGGGGGGGCATACATACTTCTGACATTTGTGGTTGCCCTCACTGATGCAGATGGACACAGCCCATGTAGCTTTTTCTGTTTTATGCACCTTTTAATGCTTGGTATGCTTCTGGGGCTATAATATAAAACTGATAGGTTATGTTTTAAGCACAAGATTCAGAAACTATAATTTAGGTGTAGCATAGTCTTTTCCATTGTAGAGGCTCTACAGGAGGGAGTTGGATTCTGTTGTAGCTCATACATCAACCAAAATTTTAATTAAATTCGGATTAGATAATCTGTGTTTCTGGTGGTGATGTCCTAACCAGAAAGAACCTAGTTTGACTTTCAGATCCCAAGTTGACTTTGGAGAGCTGTCATCTAGAAAGACCAACTTCTTACATTTGATATGAAAGTCATTGACATGGAACCCCAGAATGTCATTTTTACAGACACAGTTTCAGAATATTACAGCACTTTAATACAGAACATTTTACAACTGAATTTCACTGACCCAGAAGGTTCAGTGGCTCAAGGAAACTAACATAACCTATGTTATTCTTTGTGAAATAATTTGGATAAAAATAACAAACTAAGAATCCTCGGTAGCAGCATTAATTCTGGAATGTACAATAAGATTACGAACTTGCAAGTTCCTCATTAAAGTCTTCCAAAGAAAAATTGAGTGTGGCTTTTAGTCTAGGTTTTTTTTTTTTTTTAAGTTATGTGCTTGGTGAATGCTTCCAGAGATGCTACAAATGCAGAACATACTTTTAATTTCCTTCCGTATAGTTAAAACTAGAATCCCGTTGCCATCTGTTGTTGGAGACACTCAAAAGAGGATGTTAAGGCTTATACTTTGAACAAACCAAAACGGCAAAGGACAACTCTTTGTAGCCCATAGGTGCTTTAAAATACAGCAGCTACTAGAAAAAGTTGATCTATTGGACTCATCAAGTGGCACTTGGATACATGGAAAGTAAGGGGATTTTCCCTTGTTAAGCGGAACAGTTAAGAACAATTTCTCATTGTTTCATAACCTTGGTTTATTAATTGAGGACTGTTGCTTGTGAGTGGAATGATATTCTGATGATCACAGAGAAATGCAGTGGGCTAAGTGCACTTTTAAAAATAAAAAGCCCATCTGTCAGTATTCACAGCTTTCCAAAGGACCCAGGCCTGATTCTGTGTGAAGAAGGATCAAATGCATGTGGTACAATCAAAGTTCTCTCAAGATAGGTTTATAGGAGAATGGGAAGAATTTTGTTAACTGTTCTGTGAATTGATGCTATTTGTTTAAATTACTGGGAACAAAAATGCTATTTATAAGGTGCTATATGGGTACATACTTGGCTGATTAGCTGGTCATGTGTGCTGTCTTTTGTTAATAACTTTGCAGAAAACATATATGGAAAAGAATAAGCAAAGAACAGGCATTAAATGGCTGATGTAACAAAGTTTTGTAAGATGCATTAATTTTTGCTGTGTGATATGTTGCCGCTAGGCACAGTTTATTAAAGATTTGTTATATGTTTGTAGTTGCAACACTTCAGAATTATGGGTAGGGTTTTCCAAAGTGCCTATCTAACAGGTGCACAAGTTTCCACTGAAATTCAAAGCGGACTTGTGCTGCTAAATCACTTAGGAATATGTGAACATCTCACCTCAGGTACTGAATCATCTTATTATTTGAAACAGTAAGCATGTAATGCTAATGTTTGGTGGTTTCTTCTGTTTTTTAACACTATTCTTTCAAAGCAAGGTCCAGAGCCCGGAGTTCTGATTTGCTAATTAATGTTAGCATGGAACTTCTTGTTTGTATAATACAAATATTTGCTGTTTCAGATACGGATAGTGTCAAGTGTGGTAGTTAGAACATTTTAAAAAATTACATTTGCCTTTTCATTTATCACTTATAAAAATATTTATTTACAAGGTGTTTTTGCGTCTTGTGTAATAGTATTTTGTGATGGTCAAAAACAGATAATATAGGATTGTTCCCTAAAATAATGCTGCAGCCAGTGTAACTGCCAAACATTAGCTTTGTTTGTACAAGCAGCTGGCCACTGCACATAATGTAAGAAAATGCACTGTGATCCTGTAGTCAGTCAGTGGAAGTTTTGTTGAAGTAAAGACTGTATGGTGGGGTCCCGTGTACAACTATGTTGTGAATGTTTATAATAGTATTTTCTCCACTTATTGGTTTCCTTGTCTGTTGAAAAGATAAGTGAGTTTTTCTCCACCAAAACAAGAAAGATCAGAGTTATTTTACCTCTTTATCTACTACTGTACATTTTTATCATCTACAAAAGTTCAAATAGAAAAGTTCCCTTTTTCTGTAGTTCCTTTGCACTCTTCTTACTGGTGCACATAACTATTTGCTGTTTAAAAAATAAGTGAATTACTCTATCATTTGGATATTAGGTATTGGTGGCACTGGCAAGCATGCAGTTTGTATATAAACTACAGGTCGGCATAATTGCAGGGCTTCTGATGGAATAAGATGATCTTATTAATGACAAGAAGAGGGATAACTAAGGATCAGAGAGCATATTTCATATACTAAAATATATTTCACTGTTACATTCTAAAAATAAATTAGTTGTGAAGAATTGTATATAAATTCCATTACAAGTGTGATTTTTTCAAGACCGTTCAGTAGAACTTTAATAGATAGAAATGTAGAGATTAGTTCCTTGAGTAAGGTCCAGGCAAACCTTTTGCCTATTTTAAGACATAAAGAAATATTCTCTGTATGATACACATGAACCTGTTGAATCAGACGGATTTAAGCAATTGTGCATAGAGTGGAGAGCTATGATCCTATTGGGGACAATTCTTATACTAGAAATATGTATGTGAGTGCTCAGTAACTGAGATGAGGGGTGCCTTAGAACTGTATATAGTGAAAATACAGAACTACAACAATTCTAATATTATCAGAAGTATTTGGGGCCTGTTTCCCCACGGCCTTGTACCTTGAGTAGATGTTTACACTTGTGTAGAAAGGGAAAGGGCCTATTATTTATTATGTGTATTATGGAAGTGACCATCTGAAAATGGGGGCCCATTATGCTAAACTCTGTGCACCACAGTATTGGATCGCTCCTGCCCCGAAGAGCTTCTGTGAAAATAGGCAGGAAGGACAAAGGGAAGGGGGAAAGGGAAGTAACATGCAAGCAGAGTGGTCTGCAAACATCATGTTAGTGCCACAGTATTTTTGGGAAGGGTGGGGGGAATGGAGGAGTGGGTATATCTTATTTACATTTTTAAAATTCTTTGGGTATGGTTTAAGGAGGAGGAGAATAACTAAATGAAAAGACAAGAGAAGGGAGAGGGGACATGGAAGGTTAGGGCAGGGGGAAAAGGAGGAGGGTAGAAAGCCCGTGAACTTAGAGGGTAAGCAGAGTAAGGCTGAAATGAAGAGACTGTGAAGGAGGGGATTGGAGTGAATGCCCTGTCCTTGCAGAGAGGCATCAGGTGGGGAGGAAGCTCTTTTCCCTTCCTCATCCCCAAGGCAGGCCACAATGTGGTCTGTCGTCTAGTGTTCTAGAGATATCATGGAAAAACAGAAGCACAGGTCTATCTTGGGATTCTAAAGTCAGTCTGCTTCAGAGTCCTCTTAGAAGTGAATATCCATATTGCCACTCATCTCTCAAGTTATATGCTTCTGCCATGCTTTTTAAAAAACAATGGATGAATAACCATTACAGTGCATTTTGCTTGGTAGAGCAAAAGAAGACTAGACATAAAATCCAACTCCCGTAAAGAGTATATCTAATAGGTCTGGTTCACCACTGCTCTGCCCATTGTGTAGTTATTTACACTTGTGGGTGGGAAACACTGCCATTCGGATTTGGTCACTGTGTACAGACAGTGGATATTTGCAGAACATGAGAATCTGACTCTATACAAGTAACAATATTTTGTACATTCTACCCCAGGATCCCGACATGCCTTGTAGACCTTAATTAAACCTCACAACTCCCTTTTGAGGAGGGAAGTATTATTATTTCCATTTCCCAGAAGGGGAAACTGAGGCATGGAGAAGTTAAAGTGCCTTGTTCAAGTTCACACATCAAGTCAGTGGCAGCTGCCAGGAAACAATCTAAATGTTCTGATTCCCAGTCCTGTGCTTTCACCACTAGACCACAGTTCATCGCAGGAGAAACCTTTTTTTCTTTTTATTTATATGTACAACATCATAGATGTTCCTGGTGCTTTACAGACAAATAAGTTACAGTCCTGGTCTGAAGAGGTTACAAGGTCCAGATCCTTCTTATGCATGGACTTCTGCATCTCTATGAAAGAAATGCAGGATTGGAGATGACAAAAAGAGAGATCACAACCGGTGAAGGAGGAACATGCTAATGACATGGCTTGTATATTATAGTATACTCTTAGTATGTGTCCTACTTGCTTCATTAATTTAAAATATCCTCCTTTTATTCTCTTTAAATTTGATTGATTTGGTGCATGAGGGTGGGTCTCTCCTCACGCAGCAATACATGAATGGACTCTGTGCAACTTTAGATGCCTTCACCCTCTTGCAGAGTTTTATTCCCCATGGAAAGGAAAACGCCTATGAAAGATGTCCGTCTGACTGTTATCCGAGAGAACTCGTCAAAAGACCTCAAAAAAGCCTCCAACAACCAAAAGCCACTTAGCACAATAGGCTTTTCTGGAATGCCAGTTTTCCATAGGTTTTCAGTCTTGGCATTTATCATTCTAGCTATCTGCTGATGTTTGAATCGCTACTCTGTATACATCTTGCTTTTTCATTTTATTCTTCTTCTTTTTCTTTTTGGACAACTGCTATAATAGTTTTAGCTCCACACTTGAGGAGGAGCCCTAACCTGGGTCCAAATATGTATTGAGAAGATCCATATTTTTGAACAGTGGCTTTGTTAAGGTGAAATGAAGGACTTATAAAAATAAACATGCCAATAAATAGAAATAAGATACCAAACTGTTAATAGAATAGGAGTCTGATCCTGTTCAGATTCCTTACATGAATAGTCCCATTGACTTCAATGGACTACTCTGGTGAGAAAAGTGAGCAGGATTGGTCGCTACTTGCATAGCTTTCAATTACAAATGCCCTTTTGTATTTATTATTAATAAGGTGACCTAAGTAAGAGCCTTATTGATTACAGTGGGGTTTTGAGTGTGCAAGGAATGTGTAATTAGACTCCCAGTCTTATAATGTCTAGCAATCTTGGGTAGGGTTTTAGGCCTGACCCTGAATGGCCAAGACTCCCACTGTCTTTATTGGAAGTTTTGGGCATGCAGCGAATGGAAGATCACACTCTCTCTGTGTTTATTTTAAAGCTTTTCAATTCAGCAGTAAAATACATGGAGCCCTTCCAAGAAGAAGGACTGCAGAATGGTAGCCAGTGAAGAATCTGTTTCTCTCTGGCCTCAGCAGCCTGCGGTTTAATAAACCCATCTCTTGTTAGTCAGATGTAGATTCAGCAGTTAGACCATCTCTTCCTTCTCCTCAGACTTCGGAACATTTGTGAGAATGCTGGCTGGTGTATTAGTCAGATACAACCCTGCACTCTTTATTCAGGCAAAACTCCAGTTGACTTAAGAAAATCAAAAGTAAACTGTCCAACAGTATGTGTATTCCAAGACTGCACGAGACCATTCCACTACCTGTCTAGCTGCCCTTCCAGTAAAATGGTTTGATTTGTAGGCCTCATCTCCTCCTAAATAAAGCATCGCTTTTCTTTCTTCATCTGTGACCCCCACTCTGTCCTCAGAGTGTTAATTTCTAAAAGAAATCTCATCTAGGCAGCTTACCAAGATTTGTCTCATAACTTCGGTGTGGGTGATCTAAAGCAGCCAATAGCACTGAGAGTGCCAGAAACAAGCTCGCAGCTCTTTTACAGCTGATGCTCTGGTAGTAATGTTCCATGTCCATAAGGCAAATTAACTCAGATAAGACAATGACCTTATCCGCTCTTGAGTTCCCTGACTGTAAAGCAGCTTTTACATTTCTTAGGCTTTGCCTTCACTGCAGGGTTAGCTTGAGGTTTTACACCCAACCCAACCCCACCCCACCCCTATCCGCACACAACAATTTCTATTCTAGCTCATTAACTGGGCTGTCAGGGTGAGTTGAAGCTTGAGTGCTGCTGATGCTTGAACTTGTAATGCTGTGGGGATCAGCAGCAGGAGTTACAAGAGCGCATCAGCTGCTAATCAAATTGCTGTTTGTAGCCTGAGTGTTGTTTTGCAGTGTGGTCGCTCCACTTGAACTAGGTTAGTTTGAGTGGAGTAACTGGTTTGAGCATTGGTCTGCTAAACCCAGGGTTGTGAGTTTAATCCTTGAGAGGACTATTTAGGGATCTTGGGGCAAAAATCTGTTTGGGGGTTGGACTAGATGTCCTCCTGAGGTCCCTTCCAACCCTGATATTCTATGATCAGAGGGGTAGCCATGTTAGTCTGAATCTGTAAAAAGCAACAGAGGGCACCTTTAAGACTAACAGAAGTATTGGAGCATAAAGCTTTCGTGGGTGTAAAAACCTCACTTCTTCAGATGCAACCTCACTTCTTCAGATGCAAGAAGTGAGGTTTTTACCCACGAAAGCTTATGCTTCAATACTTCTGTCAGTCTTAAAGGTGCCACAGGACCCTCTGTTGCTTTTTATGATTCTATGAGTGTACTAACTCTTCGCAAACTGTAGCAGTGAAGACAAGCTCTTAGAGATGATGCAGAATGGAAAAATACATGTTTCTTTTCAGTGCGATCACATCTCCTTTTAAGAAAGCAGCTATGACTTGAAGGTGTTGAGGAGGGTAGTGATGGGATCAGAGAAATGCATGTGAGACTATTCAGTATTTTAAAGCTGGTGTATTTATTTTTCAGAGATAAATGACAGCGATGGCAAACCAGGCAGCAGCCAACAAACCCTAAAAGGAACCTCAAGATGGACTACGTCACTAGAGAACCTCCTAGAAGATCCAGAAGGAGTGAAACGATTTAGGGTTGCTATCTTAACTATTAATGTTTGCATAGACTTTAAACAGCATTTGAAGCTTAATATGTATCCGCATTAAATAATGGTGGTGTACCAATGGCATAAGGGTATACATTTGTATATAACTAGATGTGTGAATTAAGCATTGGTGACAGAACAGTTGAGTTGGGGCATTTGCTATGCTTCTCAGATGGTATCCTCTGCCAACAGCCTATCCTTGGGTACAGGGGAAAAGCTTGGTTGCACCTTTCTAACCAGAGAACAGATGACAGGCAATGTCATGGGTATGACAGGAGTAAGGGTTAGAAAGCCACAGTGGGCTAAATAATGGAGCAGAAGGAAACTTGGTCTTTTCTGAAATATTACTGTCTCCTGTCATGTAATATCCACTACTGGGGCCTGATCCTGTAACCCTTATCCATATAAATTATTCCAATGACTGCAACTGAGCAAGAGTAACGGCCCGATCCTGCATTGTGACCCAGGCAGGTGAACTGAGCAGAGCTCCTTTAATTTCAGTAGGGCTCCATGTGGGAGCGGCAGTCTGCCCACACAGATCACAATGCAGGATTGTGACTCAAGTATGTTGGGGGTGACCTATCAGCCCTCAGTCTTGCAACCCTTTTATCGTGCTAGTAATCAGTTTTTATTTATGCAAATAGTTACACTATTTGCTTGAGTAATGATTTGCACAATCAAACCCAGAGGCTGGGGTGAAGTGATTTTATACAAGACCACTCTGGAAAGTGCTACTACTATTACTAGACTGATCCCAATGCTTTTAGAATTCCTGGTACCAGCAAATAATTTAATCTTTCTTTTTTCACATTTGACAGTGAAAACTGAACATCCCAGAACTATAAATATTTCAGTCGTCGTTTTTATACACATGTTAAATATATATTTTTTTCCATTTTAAAAAATGCTTTGCTTTAGGAGGAATGTGGTTTGTTTAAACACTGTCTGGAGAGTGCAGATACATCTTTTGATTTAATTTACTTTAAGATAATTTATAGTTACTGATGATCATGTTTAGAAGCACTTTCATTTGCAGTTTTTGCCGGTAAAGAATGTCAAATGAAAGTAGACTAGAATCCCAAGTGATCTATGGAGCTCATTAAAACAGATCTTTATACTTATTACTACTGAGTTTGTGTATTTCCTGTGTTCTTTCTGAGTAACAAATTTAAATTGCTCAAGTTATTTAATGATGATAGATACATTCCTCTCATTAGCTGGCTGACAGAATTTAAGACTAGAATTTAGCTAGGCTAGTTCTTATGGATTGTATTTTTGAAAGCATTGAATATGTTGTTTATTTATAGTCCAGTAGCACCTGTTGCTTCCCAAGTGGTGGCCTCATTTTCTGCTGTACAAAAAATAATAAAAGACAATCCTGGGCCCGAAGAGCATCTAGTTTCTACAGACTAATAGTGGGAGGGGAAACAAACATCTGAAAAATCAGATCCTAACATTTTACTTCTTTTTTTTCCCCCAGGAATTTTTAAAGAAAGAATTTAGTGAAGAAAATGTTTTGTTCTGGTTAGCATGTGAAGAATTTAAGAAAATGCAAGACAAGAAACAGGTATTTCCTTCAAAATTAAACTTTACCTGTCAACAAAGATTACATGGTAGCATTAGGGGATATAACCTGTCTCCTACTTACGTAGTTATTCAGCTGTATTTCATGTACGTGCAAACAAATATATTGAAGGAATGTATCAGAAATCATCAAAACTAGAGATAGTTGTAGCTAGCTAGTAAAACAAATTTTATTCTGCATCAGAATGAAAAGCCAAAATTGATATTTCCTGTGAAACCAAAATTCTAAAAAAATTCAGTTTGGAACCACTGAAATGTTTTGTTTTGATAATGTCTAATCATTGTTCTTTGATAAAGCTAAACATGTTTTGTTTCAATAATGGTGTAACTTTACAATATATACTGTATTATAATATATTTAATATTTTATATATAATACATGTAATTAATTATTTTACCATAAATTTAAATAAAATGAATCAAAACAAGAAAGTTGAAACATTTTTACTATATCAAAATGAAATGTTTTGACATTATGGAACTAAAACAGTGGAAATGATTTATTTAGACTTTTCCCCCTGAAAAATTTCTTCAAAATCAGCATCTTCCTGTGATTTGTTTAGATTTTGACTGAATTGCATTTTCGACAGAAAACCATTCTGTTGAATATTTTTTGGTCAGCTCTAATCATGACCTCTTTCTGTTGCATGGGTGCCAGTCCTGCAATTGGATTCACATGAGCACAGGGGTCTAATTGCATTTTCTGATTGCGGGATCAGAACCATGTTATGTGGAATCAGGCCTGAAATGTGTACTGGGTTTCTGTTTGTTTGCTGCTGTAAATATTGGAGAATGTTTCGACAATTACAACATGTCATTTGATTAATGTTTTAGGCTGAGATGTCCAAAGGAAGTTAGATGCCAAAATCCTATTGAATGTCAGTGGGATCTGGGTGACTAATTCCCCTAGGCCTCTTTGAGAATCCCAGCTTTAGACTTTCTATGTGGACATCAAGGGCTAAATTATGGCCTTTGTTGCTGGAAGAGCACTTTGCAGCTGGATAGTCCAAGTGATGGTACTCTGCAGGGAGATAGCGCTAGGGAGTTTGCTGAGAAGAACTCTTTACACCTGCTCTAGAAAGGTGCATTGTACACTCCCCAGTGTGCCGGGAACCATCAGAAATAGGAGGGAATGGGGACACAGGTCTCATCCCCTTGGTACCCTTGGTACCATGAAATTGTTAGCCTTCAGAAGGAGTCTTGCAGGTGTAAGTCAAGGTTGGATCTAGATTATGATGTTTGCTCCCACAAGACACAGGAATGACTGTAGATCAAGTCTGGTTGAAAATTTTCCCTTGGAACTGTTTTTTAGTGGAAAATTGGGTTTTCAGCAAAATTAAGTTTTTTGTGAAAAGTGTTTGTTTGCCAGAAGCTGGGAATGGGTGACAGGGGATGGATCACTTGATGATTACCTGTTTTGTTCATTCCCTCTGGGGCACCTGGCACTGGCCACTGTTGGAAGATAGGGTACTAGATGGACCTGTTCTTATGTCTGCTTTCCACAGGAAATTTTGATTTGTCATAAAAAGAAAAAATGAACAATTGAAAACCAAAATATTTTTCAGTATTCAAATTTTTTCCAAAAAAATTTCTGCAGCAAAGGAAACACATTTTTCAACCAACTTAACAACAGACCTCACCATGCCTATAACTACACAGAAGTAATGTCTTGGGCTTGGTTTTCCCTCAGTAAGGTCTATGCATACACATATATATGGACATACTCAAAACAGAAACAATTAATCAGGCTGTTTTTCCTACAGTCTGGAAAGGAGAGAGATTGGGATGAGGGGGGAATGATTGTTGTTTCTATTTTAAATATTTCTGTTCTGTATTTGGGGAAAAACAGATGATATCGTCTCATCATATGGTGATGATAACACTCTTTCCATTCTGCTAGTATCTCTGGAGGATGTGAAACAAGCTACTAAAGTTTGACATTTTAAAATCAGAAGGTCCCAAAAACTTGCATCCAAGAGCTTTCTGGATCATTAATGTTGATCTTCAATAAGTCTTGGAGCACTGGGGAAGTTCCAGAAGACTGGGAAAAAACTAATGTTGTGCTAATTTTTTAAAAGAGTCAGTGGGATGACTATGGTAATTATATGCCTGTTAGCCTGGCCAAGATAATGGAGTGGTTGATATGGGACTGGATTAATAAAGAATTAAAGGAGGGCAATGTAATTAATGCAAATCAACATGGGTTTATGGAAAATAGATCCTATCAAACTAACTTGATATCTTTCTTTGATGAGATTATAAGTTTGTTAAAGTAATAGTGTTGATGTTATATTTAGACTTCTGCAAAGAATTTGACTTAGTACTGCACAACATTTTGATTAAAAAACTAGACTAATATAAAATTAACATGGTACATGTTAAATGGATTAAAAACTGACTGATAGGACTAAAAATTTAACTGTAAAAAGACTTTTCATCACGTAGGTGTGTTTCCAGTGGGTTCCATGGGTATTAGTTTTTGGCCCTACGCTATTTAACATTTTTATCAATGACCTGGAAGAAAACATAAAATAATCACCGATAAAGTTTGCAGATAATACAAAAATAGGGGGAGAGGCAAATAATGAAGAGGACAGGTCACTGATTCAGCGTGATCTGGATCACTTAGCAAACTGGTTGCAACCAAACAATATGCAGTTTAATATGGCTAAATGTATACATCTAGGAACAAAGAATGTAGGTCAGACTTACAGGATGGGGGACACTATCCTGGGAAGCAGTGACTCTGAGAAAGATTTGGAGGTGGTGGTGGATAATGAGCTGAACATGAGCTCTCAATGTGACGCCATGATGAAAAGAGCTAATGCTGACCCAGGAAGGATGCATAAACAGGAGAATCTCAAGAAGGAGTAGACAGGTTATTTTACCTCTTCGTCTGGCACTGGTACAACTGCTGCTGTTTTACCATGTCCAGTTCTAGGGTCCACAATTCAAGAAGGAAGTTGATAAATTGGAGAAGGTTCAGAGAAGGGCAGTCAGAATGATTAAAGGATAAGAAAATGTACCTAGCCATAGACTCAAAGAGCTCCATCTATTTAGCTTAACAAAGAGAAGGTTAAGGAGTGATTTGATTACAGTTTATAAGTACTTACATGGGGAACAAATATTGAAAAATGGACTCTTCAGTCTTTTGGAAAGATATAACACCATACAATGGCTGTACATTGAAACTAGACAAATTCAGACTGGAAATAAGGTGTACATTTTTGATAGTGAGAATAATTAACCATTGGAACAATTTAGCAGGGGTCGTGGTGGAGTCTCCATTACTGACAATTTTGAAATAACGATTGGTTGTGTTTCTAACAGATCTGCTCTAGGAATTATTTTGGGGAAGTTCTCTGTGTTATACAAGAGACCAGACCAGATGATCACAATGGTCCCCTCAGGGCTTGAAAGCTATGAATATGTGGGAGCTGCTCAGATACTACCATGATGGCAGCTGTTTTAAGTTAGATAGACTGGCACTGGGTACATTCATTAGCTCTCACTTCAAGCCCTCCTGACACAAGTCACAGCATTCTGCCTGGCTGTTGTCCAGATGGTTGAGAAGCTGTCTGTGCCCTGTCTTCACCTCAACATGCTAATTGCAAGACAAGACTCACGGGGCCTAATTTAGCTTTGGCACAAAAGCCATTACACATAGCACCTGTTTGGTCTTTGTTATTACAAATCAGTGCTGAAAGTAATCCACTGTGCACAGTATCACCTTGGTATGGTATGTGCAGTATGTAAGGCCTGGTGTCTAGATATGCCTGTTCCCTTCTCTCTTCTGCCACTTTCTTCACTGGTGGATGTGGATCTGGCATTGCAGCTGGTTCGCAAATAGGGAGTATCTTTTTCTTCATACAGGCTAGCTATTTTCTGTCTGTATGATGCACGGTGGCCCAGGCCCTGCTCAGGAGTTAGGTAGCCTCCATTGTTGCTTAAACAGGTACCAAATTGTATTCTAAGGCTAGGTCTACACTACCCGCCTGAATTGGCGGGTAGAAATCGACCTCTCGGGGATCAATTTATCACGTCCCGTCGGGACGCGACAATCGATCCCCGAATCGACGCTCTTACTCCACCAGCGGAGGTGGGAGTAAGCGCCGTCGACAGAAAGCCGCAGAAGTCGATTTTGCCGCCGTCCTCACAGCGGGGTAAGTCATCTGCGATACGTCGAATTCAGCTACGCTATTCACGTAGCTGAATTTGCGTATCTTAAATCGACTCCCCCCTGTAGTGTAGATGTACCCTAAGATGGATACTGCATGAAAAGTCCTTCTGTAGGATTTTGCAGTGGGACGATGACACTTTTTTTCTTTATAAAATAATCTGCATAGTTTTTTCATTGTTTCTATTTTAGGATTGTGCACACAGACACAGGAAATGGTAAACAGACATACAGAGATAATAGTGCAATGAATCCTCAGATTAATTGCCATATTGAATGGACAATGATTAACTAGTTCCCATTTACCTTCAATTATTCAGTACCAGTCTTTATGCAATATATGCAGTCAGCAGTCTAACACTAACAAAGCTTCTGGAGGCTAGAAGAATTATAATACATTATGGATTTGCAGTAGGGTTTAAAAGTTATTGCAGATCAATCAATCTATCTCCTTTACAGAATTAAACAGAAACTTTAAAGATAGAAATCATTCTGTACAGTATTTTTTATAGCATGAAACACTAATTTGTCTCCTGAAAGTGATTTCTGTAGCAATCACTGTACTACTACATCAATGAGGGAGTTAATTTGTATATTATGCTAATGTGATGCTTCCCAGAGATATCCAGGGTTGTGAGGCACCTTGCAACAATGTGCCCTTAGTGTGAAGAGGCCTCCTTGTCTGTGTCTGCTGGGGCCCTCACTGTCACTCTGCAGGTTAGCAATAGGCCCACCCACTCCAACCCTGAGCCCTCCGAGTGCCTCCCGGGAGTGTCAAGGCCTTGGTCCAGTGGACAATCACAATA